TTTTTTTTTTTTTTTTTTTTGTTGTTGTCAAATGAAAGGTGCTGATGCCTTTTGTTGACTTGGTGGCTGACAGGAATAAGTGTTGGATAGTTGATGAATTCCAACGGAATTTTTCCGTTGGAATAGCTGTAGAATTTATTTCCATAGAATGTTCCGTTGGATATTTGTTATTCCAACGGCCATTTTCCCAACGGATTTTTATACGTAGGAATATCCGTTGGAATAGCTATTCCAACAGAAATATAAAAAATTCCAACGGAAAATTTCCGTTGGAATGTAAGAGTTTTTTTTTGTAGTGAAACGAGCAGAGTCGAGCTCGTTCGTCAACATTTCGCTTTTTTTTTCTAATTTTTGTATTAGTTTCGAGCATGTTCAACGAACACACAAATCGTGTTGACAAATGACTCGTTCACAATTTTGAAATTTTTAAACGAGTCAAGTTGAATATAAACGTGAAACGAAGCCGAGCAGGGTCGTTTGTTAAACAATCAAAAGCTCAAACACAAACCGTTCGACTCGACTCAACTCGAATCGAATCTAATAATTACATCCATAGCATCTCATCTCATTATGCATTTCAAGTGTGTGTATGTGTGTGTGAGAGAGAGATATACAACTTACGAGTAAGGTGAACTGATTTGTGGCGATTGATCTCACGCATCGGTTGCCGTCAAAATCCGTTCGACACGAAAAGCAATACAATCCCCGGCCGCAATCCGAATCAGTTGAACACTCATCTCCCACCTGTAGAATGACGCCGTTTAACCGCCGTCAATTTTCAATCCCTCCCAAAAAAAAATGAATAATAATAATAAAGATATAAGGAAATGCTACAGTCACATTACGGAACCATTCCGTCAAGATTTGTAACCGTTATATCCTCATGTAACCATCGTGAATAGTAGATCTAATGGTTACAAGTCCCGACGGAATGGTTTCGGAGTAGAATCTCCCAAAGATATATATGCATGTATACACTCAGACCTTACAGTCTCCATTAGAGCACGCGGCCTCGAGCAGCTTCGACACCAACAAAACTGCAAATACTGAAGAAAGTACTTTTCCCACTTCCATGGCCGTGGGAATATTTTAATCAATTTTTTATGTTAATTGGGATTTTGCCAAAAATAAAAAAATAGAAAAAAAAAATCAGAATGGAAAATGAGTTGCGAAATTAGCAATCAAGTGAATATTATTTTGAAGAATTTATAGTGTTAATTTTTTTTAATTTTTGCAACCGAATGATTTAATTTGTGCGTGGCGTTTATGGTAAAATATATAATATGCGAGATTTGGTGGGGGCATGTGGAACAACAAAAGACGTAATAATAATAATGTAACTTAATAACCTTATGATGTGTAAGTTGTCCTAAAATTTAAATTGCATTAATTGGGAGTACTCAAAAGTTTGGTATGCAATCAAGTGCACGTGATATTTTGAAAATGCTTAAACTTATGGTGCAGTGAGATTCTACAGTCTCGTTATGAAACTATTTTGTCGGAATTTGTGACCGTTAGATCAATTATCAACGACGGTTACATGATGATTTGACGATTACAAATCATGACAGAATGATTGCGTAATATGACTGAACATTTCCAATATGTATATAGTGGTGTGGATAGTCCAATTTTGGAGTAGAGCGGGTGAGATTTACTAGGAATAGTATTGACTATTGGGTTTGATTTGGAGCAGTTACAACAACTTAAACACAAATTTTGAGTATCGAGTTAAATAATCATTTGTTTTTTCAAACAAAGATACCACTACAAAAAAACACTACAAGTTTAACGAAAAATTTCAACGGCAAAAATTTTTGTTGGAAATTCCAATAAATATTCCAACAAACTTAATTTTATGTTGGAATAAGTGTTAGATAGTTGAAGAATTTCAACGGATTTTCTCCGTTGGAATAGTTGTAGAAATTTATTTCCATAGGATTTTCTGTTGGATATTTGCTATTACAACGGCCATTTTTCAAACGGATTTTTATACGTAGGAATATCCGTGGGAATAGCTATTCCAACGGAAATATAAAATTCCAACGGAAAATTTCCGTTGAAATGTAAGAGTTTTTTTTTTGTAGTGTACATAATATAAAATTACGACATTAGATAGTATAAGTATAAATATTATTTAAATAGTATGATAGGTGATCATGCATAACAGTTAGTTTGTTTCATACCAGAATTTGCAATTAAGTGAATGTCGTACTTTTATTCACGTTATAATATATTTATTAAGTATTGAAATTTTATTTAAAATGTGTTTTATTAACAAATTATATCTGTCTAAGAATGAATGGATAGTGGGCTGTAATATTTAGCCCTATCCCATTTAAAATCGTGTACTTCCAATTTCCCCTATTTTTAGATAATGATGGGTCATAATTGATTCATCGTGAGCGTAATTTGATTCTCCTGTACCTTTGGGATTCTGCTACAATTAAAATGTTAAACGCAGAAATTTACTTTTAAAAGATTGTTTGGAATTTGAATTTGTAACCGAGATTTTTTTTTAAGCCCGTTACGGTATTTGGATCTATGTCCGACTAATTCGTTGGTCGATTCGGGTTGCACACCTGACAGTGGTAGGTTAGTCTCCCAACAAAGGGTTTTTGCATCGACAAAGACTCGGACTCGAGACCTTGCTTAAGCGACATCAAATTGCTTACTAGTTACCACTTGAGCCAACCCCTGTTGGTGTAACCGATATTTTTTTTACCTCGAGATGGATAATAAGTCTAAAATAATGAATTTGGATGGTAATAAAAAATCTAAAATAATAGTTTATTGAAAAATGCGAAAAATACACATAATGAATTATTTGTATATTTAAATAAGTGTATAACTCATTGGTTCTTTTGAAATTCATGATTTACATAAAATTTCTACAATATAGAAACTAAACAAAATATTTTACTTATTCTTGCCTTAAATTGTAGTGTCTCAGAATAAATTAATTATTTAGATAATTTGTGCGGCATAATCATTTACCCCTATTTACAAATATTATGTACTTATAACATTTCTCATATATAATATGTTTGTAACCAAAAAAGGCAGGAAAACATAAATAGAGTATTACAATTTTGCGAGCGAGATTATATGTAGACAGATTTTTATTTTTCATGGAAATAAATAGGGGAATTTACACTTATGCCGTAATGAATTGTTTTTATACCTAACTTAATTAAATTATTTATATACGTAAAATATATAGCAACATCAAGTCATAATGTCTTACCATAACAGATTCTTGTAACTGACAGATGCATGACTGGAGAGAGAATATCTAGTAGAAAATTAGGAGGATTCCACTACTTAAGGGATTCCTTATAAAAAAAAAGTAAATTGAAGAACAATAAATCGCACGAAAATATGAGAATTGTGTACAATGTACAAGTAATATAATCGGATATATACATGATATATACATTTTTATGTCACTATTTTTTGTCCCAATCTTTGTTTGTGTCAGATATATACATGACATATACATAACATATACATTTGTATATACATCTACAAATAATACGTGTACATATCTCAGTCTTCGTCTGCATTTTTTATTTATCAAATTTTTTACTGGATTGAATTGTTTATCGTTCTTTCAAGATATAAACACAAATCGGGCGAAATATCAATACAAGTATGTATGTTAAAATTTGTGTATATAATCTGTAATATTTAGGTTACAAAACCAAACCTTTACAATTTTGAGAAAATAAAAAACATGGGGAATAATATGAAAAACCCAATACTTTTAATGAAGAAAATAAAAAATCATGAAATGAACCATCTCGCAATACAATAACCTTGCAATATAGACTATATACGGGATCGACGAATCCGAGGACCTCAGCCCGCCCCCTCTTTCCATAACCTCAAGGTTGCGAACAAGTCCTCCATTAGAACCCCAGTCAACGCCACCTTCCCCAAGCTTAATTGGGGCCACCTTCCCCAAGCTTAACTGAAGGGCTAGCGTCGGCGAACCGCTATCTCCGGTCGTTGGAGGGCCAACGCGCCTCCTCAGTTTCGTGGCGCCCAATCGGGGTTTAGGGTCGCCTTACTCTCGACGGGTCTGCCACTCCATCGATCCGCCGACCCCGCGCTCATCTAAGCCGTGGTCGCCCGTATTCGACCGATAAAGAAAAAAAACAAATAAAATTTTCAACTGTAGAAGGAGAGAACATTTTAAGCGTAATGTTGTAGAAGACGAAGAAAAAGAAGAAGAAGAAGAAGAGAGAGACAGAGAGAGAGAGAGAGAGAGAGAGAGAGAGAGAGAGAGAGAGAGTATCGTGATTAGATTTTGGGAAGGTGATAAGTTTTCTATTAATTACTCTAAAAGTGATTCCATATGTAAATTAATGATTTTATTGACATTTGGTAGTTTTGCAAATAAAAGTGCCGAACTAGTTGAATTGCAATTATTTATGACTTGGTTATAGGAATATGACAAGGGTAACAAAGGTGAATATCCAAACTACAACTCTTGTTCATAAGACCCAAATGGAAATTCTTTGCTCTTTTCAGGGCTTCAGTTCAGCAACTGGATAATTTGGGCTATTATATGTAGTATCTAAATACAAATTGATGGGCCATAACACACTGAATTTTATTATTTGGGATGATTGTTACTTTTTTTTTTAGTATAATGCTCGTTATTTATTTGATTTTCATTTACAATATAAAATAAAAAAATTTAAGATTTTCACATTGGATTTATTTATTAACTAGTACAAACACCCGTGTATTACACGGGTGCTTGCTAATTTTTCTCTTAAAATTTAAAATTAATGAGAAAAAGTAGTTTGAAAATTTAAATACCTTTTATAAGAATATATATATTATTATATATTTATTATGATACTTTTTATTTGTGTGACTTACTTGTGTTATATTATATTAATTTTTTAACTTACAATATATAACTACATTAAATATAAATATATCAATTGAGAAATAATTTTATTTTTCTAATGAATTTTAATAAATATTATTATTTTTTATTATTATAAAGATAAATATAATTTATTTATTTTATATATACAATATGGATGTCAAATCGAAGATCCTCAAAAGATGATTAATTTGATATATTATATATGTAAAACCGATAAGAAATACAAAAATTATCAACTTTTAAAATATATTTATAATTCAATAGCTTATTGAAGGAAGCAAATCAAAATTTAGGGATATATAGTCACTTAGTGCTTCACTATGTAAAATTACAAATAATTAAAGGGTTATATTAGTAAAAGTGATATTAAAATACCTAAGTTAGTACCCAAGAGCGCTTGGATGAGATGGCTTGGGTCTCTTCCAGCTTAACCAGTGGTCTCGAGTTCGAGCCCTGAGAATGCAGCAGTGTTAAAACTCTTGAGGGAGAGCTTTGCCACCCTTGTGGTCCTACCCGGCTCGATTTCGGATTAGTCGGTTCCCCTGTAGATCCGGAAACCGGAAGGTCCCTGTACCAAAAAAAAAAAATACCTAAGTTAGCTAAATAATATTTATGGAATACCCGAACCTAGATTATTAATTATTAATATATCAATATTATTTGTCAAAACCTAATTACGAAGCATGATTCTTCGCCAAATAGGATTCCGAAGCACCCGAAGCAGCTACGTAGACTCAGCACATTCGGAAATTATATATAGGGAGGATTTAAATATGACGTCTAAATTAATTAAAACTGCTTAATTAATCAAGACATATTCCAAATCAAGCACGATAAATTAACACGATTAGTCTAACGAAATTTCAATATATATAAACATCACAGATTAATGCTGTAATTTCCAATATAAATAATCCTTTAATATCAAACATCACTGAACAAATAAAAATAATCACAACAATAATACAGGAAATTTCAACTCAAAACTTGAATTACAATCAATCATAATAATACACAAGAAAATCATTACACGCAAAAATCAACTTTTTTATTCACTTGACGTCGGAAAAGAAGCGGTTGATGGCGGGCATCACCTCCGGCGGCCGCGTGCGGAGGAACCTACGGAGGCTGTGCTCGGCGTACTTTTCTCCTTCCTCTTGGTTTTCGAGCACCGGCGTCGAACGATGGACTTTGTTGATTCTAACAAAAGAAAAAAAATATATATATATTAGAACAATTGCATTAATTATGGCTTTATATTTCAAAATAATACTATTAGAAAATTTTATTCATCATAAATTAAAATATTTATTTAGTACTATTTGGTACGTGTGATTTATACCTGACATCAGGATTGAGGATCACATTCCTTGTGAGCTGAAAGACGCACATTCCAGTGACAAAACTCATGGCAGCCATTAGAGGATAAACCTGTTTTTTTTTTTAAAAAAAAAAAAAGAAAAAAAAATTATGTTATAAAATTAAATTTAGCCCCTCAATCAACATTAATTTATTCATAAGAGAAAATAAGAGATTATATTTAATTTTCTAATGTTTTCTTTTATTGGGATTAGAAATGGAATTATAGGTATTGAGTCATTCTAGTAATATAGATCAACATTTAAGTACACTTTTCTTGAAAAAATATGAGACAGGGTAATTGGATATAAGTTATTTTGGTTTTGATTGGATTTGTTGATTAACTAGAGATAACTCTCGAAAAAGTTGATTGAGTTAGATTTGAGTACAATTTTAAGTTTGTATTAAAATATTATTTAAGATATAGTGATTAAAGTTGATTTAATATAAAAGTACGCTAAATAAATGTAATTGGAAGTTGTGTGTAGTTAAAATTACGAATTGATAAATAATGAATCAAAGCTGATGTAATGCGTAAACTGTAAAGATGATTGATTGATATTATTTAATAAGATTAATAATACTAAAGAATGTTTGATTGAGTTTAAAAAAAATATTTGGTCAAAATTAACCACATATTTTATAGACAAACATGGTCTAAATGTTATTTTTTTATTTTTTTTATTTTGGTACAATAAATGTTAATAAATTTGATTTATCTTTAGCATTTTGTTTATGTTATTTTCGTTAAAACATTTTATACAACGACTTCATTTTTTTGAACTTGGCAATCAATATGATAAAGATATCTGTAAAATGGGTCGTGAACTTCATAAATATTCATAACTATATATATCTTTTGTACATCTTAACTAGACTTGGCCAATTGTCGGGTCCGCGGGCCTCAATTTCATGGCTCGTGACCGGCCATGAACTGCTGGTTCATTGACCCAGGGAGTTCCGAGTAGGTACGACCCATTAGAAAAATAGTAACAACACTATAATCCGTCTTCCAACTCGTGACTCGTCCCGGCACGGCGAGACAAAAAAAA